TCTCTCTCTCTCTCTCTCTCTTTCTCTCCCTCTCTCTCTCTCTCTCTCCCCTTCTCTCCTCTCTTCTCCCTCTTCCTTCTCTCTCTAAAATCAATAAAAACATATCCTCAGGTGAGGTAGAAATAAAAAGTCTTTTAAATAAATAAAACTGAACATTTGTGAACAGAGTATGTTTATGTGTAGTTCCAGGTATGGTGCCCATGTGACTGACCGAAATTATATTTTAGCTATTTAAAAACTTAACAGTGCCTGATTGGTGTTGTTCTTATATCAATAGGGGCAGAACTGTTTCATGCCTGAAACACATAAAATGATAATTGCTAGGTCTTGGAAGGGAAAAGATCAGAAACACTGGTCGCATAGTAAGTAGATTATTAGTATTAACTGAGGCTTAGGAGGTAGTGTAGTTTTAAAGTTTGTGGAGATTTTATTACTCTAGTAACTTCTAGATAACAGTAAGTAGGTAGTTCTAGCACAACTCCATTAGGAGTGAACATGTCACCTAACAGTTTTTGTGGCAATTGTGCAATAGGACATGGATATATGTCATTCTGCATATACTAATAAAACTGGGTGCTATGAGAATAATAAGTGGGTCACTATTGGCTTTCAGAAAATTGGGTGGGGGTCTAGTATGGTAATACTGGAATTATTTCAGAGGGCAGTTACTGTGAATCATGTATTCTCAGGAGCCAGAATATATTCAAATCCTGAGTCTCTGCCCTTTAACTGTCAGTGTGGTCTTAGATGCATTTAACCTGTCGGTTTCTCGCCTGAAAAGTGAGTTTTAATGATAGTGCATATAAGTTGTTGGAAAAAAATAAAACATGAGAAGCACTTAAAATGGGGCCTGGCACAGTTGTAGCTAATAATATATATGAGCATTATCTTTTTCAGGGTTCAGAAAAAAATAAAAACTTAGTGGGGGATCTTGACAGAAAAATAATTATGTGCACAATTTCTCTAATAGATACTGAGGGTTTGTCCTTTTAGCTATCCCATAAATGAAGGCAATGTGATAGCCATAACACTAACTGGAAAAAAGGTTCATCACTCATAGATCACAGTGGCAAATCTCAACAAGATAGCTTCTAGAATGTTAAGTGAGCAGTTCTTCAACAAAAGTGATCTGGGGATAGAAATGGAAATAATTGAGTTTCCTTGTCTTCATAGTTTGTATTCTATACAGTGAAGGAATGCAATATTATTTTCCAATTATGCCCATCCTTAGAGAAGGACTTTGTGGCTTTCTGCCTTCTGAGTGGAATATTACAGAAGATATTAAGAAATCTTGAGCCTGGCCAGCGTGGCTCAGTGGTTGAGTATCCACCTATGAACCAGGAGGTCATGATTCAATTTCTGGTCAGATACATAATCAATAAAAATACATTTTATTTCTTTTTTTATGGTGCCAATTTTAATTAGTTTTAAGGCGTTGCATTTTCCACTTAACAATTCAGTGTTGTAAAGTGCATTATTTACTTTCCCTGTGCACATAGTCCATATTAAGTATCAAGAATGCCCAGTTATTTACTATGCAGCAGCTCAGCTTTTAAAATTGCCATGGAATTTGCTACAAATTTGCATCCTTCACTATTTTGTGTGAAAAAATGCTAAACCTATGCTCAAAGTTGGCTTAATCAACCTCTTCAATGGTGGGCCCAGAGGAGACACCACCA